TCGTATTGCCTGCTATTCCGCCTTTGCGTATTGCAGAGTTATCTTCTCTTGAGAGCAGGTATTGATTGTTACGTCACTTGTTTGTGAGAGTAACGTCATCAATTTTTGGGAAAACGACGTAATTTTTTCAAACAGACCAATGACGTAACAATCAATACCTGATCCCAAGAGAAGATAACTCTGCAATACGCAAAGACGGAATACTATTACGTAAATGAAACCAGGTCAAACAGCAAAATCATTAATATCCTGTAATAATGTTGAACTCCTCATCTGTCATTTTACCAGTTATTTTTGGTAGAATAGAAGATCCGTATATGTACTAGTAAGCCAGGATATTGATTCAAGAAGCAAAAATAACGCGAACATTGATGTCTGTTGAAACAAATGTATTCATTTGTTTGGATTCAATTTGTCTCTATATTTATATTGTTTTTAGAATCACTTTGTCTGTCATATTCTACCGACAGTAATAGTCACGGTATTTTGGCTACTTAAAACTTAATCAGTTTAACAAAAAAATATTTAAATTCTTCAGCAATAGTTGGGACAGGGATTGCCAGGGTTTCAGGTTAAGTATTTTGTAATCGATTCACTTGATATTTATATGAAGTTAGTATAAGTGTTTAATACTGATCCTATATTGGTCCTTAAGCTATTTCAATTCAACTATCGGATGTTCAGATTTAGTCATTGATCTATTTCAATTCAACTTTTGGATGTTCAGTTTCAGTCCTTAAGCTATTTAATTTAACCATCAACTTCAACCTAGGTCCCTCCTATTACAGGATTGACAGACGTGAAACTTGGGTCTCTCACGAGGAACTGACAATACAGGGTTGACAAACGTGAGACTTGGGTCTCTCACGAGGAACTGACAATACAGGGTTGACAGAGGAGAGACTTGGGTCTCTCACGAAGAGCTACAGTTACAGGATGGACAGACGTGAGACTTGGGTCTCTCACGAGGAGCTGCCATTACAGGGTGGACAGACGTGAGACTTGGGTCTCTCACGAAGAGCTACAGTTACAGGATGGACAGACGTGAGACTTGGGTCTCTTACGAGGAGCTGACAGTACAGGGGGGACAGACGTGAGACTTGGGTCTCTCACGAGGAGCTGCCATTACAGGCTGGACAGACGTGAGACTTGGGGCTCTCACGAGGAGCTGACATTACAGGGTTGACAGAGGAGAGACTTGGGTCTCTCACGAGGAGCTGACAATACAGGGTGGACAGACGTGAGACTTGGGTCTCTTACGAGGGGCTGACATTACAGGGTGGATAGACGTGAGACTTGGGTCTCTCACGAGGAGCTGACATTACAGGGTGGACAGACGTGAGACTTGGGTCTCTCACGAGAAACTGACAATACATGGTTGACAGACGTGAGACTTGGGTCTCTCACGAGGAGCTGACATTACAGGGTTGACAGAGGAGAGACTTGGGTCTCTCACGAGGAGCTGCTGTTACAGGGTTGACAGACGTGAGACTTGGGTCTCTCACGAGGAGCTGACAATACAGGGTGGACAGACGTGAGACTTGGGTCTCTCACGAG